ATCCCACTTTTTATTTTTATTTCAAAGATTTTCCTTATTTTTCCATCCTAACGATCACATGAATCGCTAAGCTAATTATCTAAATCCTGAAAAGATTCTCATTTTTTCCTGGCGAGTTACGTTCCAAGTAACACAAAATAAAATAAATACTACATTAAAAGAAGGAAACCTCTTCCACTGCTTGAGCTGAATGACCTATACGGGTTTAGCTCACCACAAATATAATTGGGAAGGAAAAAATACCACAGTGAAAATTGGAAAAAAAAACCTGAGCTCATCATGTGCTTGTACAAATATATGTGCAAGCACATAAAAGCGCTCAGGTTTTATTTCCTATTTTCACTGTGGTATTTTTCTCATATTTACCATCACGCGCTCTGTTGTGATTTCTTCCATAATAGGAAATACGGAAATGTAGAGAAAAATACAAGTATCCTGAAGTTACAGCAATGAAATAACATGCAAGTTTGGCTCAGTACAACAAACAATAAGCGGATGTGGGTGGATACCACGCCTTCAATTACTACAACAATGCACACACGATACGAAGGTTCTGAGTGTTTGTACAATATGTCAGCTCATCAGGAAGCAACACGAAGCAAGAAGTCAACCAGTCAGGAAGTAACACAGTGTGCGAATCAAACCAGGAATCAATACAAAGCAATGAATCAACTAGGAACCAACACAGAATGGTTCAAGTTAGCCATGCAAGTGTTACGCTCATTATTAAATCTGGTTCTTTCCACTGCTTGCTGTTTTTGGAGAGTTTTTCTTATCACTTAAAAGTTTCGTCTCTTGCATGTCGGTTTCAGTAGTAGAGAACAGAGGATCGAGTATTCACCACTCCTTGCGCTGAATGCTCCACTCAAAATGTATAATAAAATGTATCATAATAATAATAATAATAATAATAATAATAATAATAATAATAATAATAATAAAACATAATAATAATAATAATAATAATAATAATAATAATAATAATAATAATAATAATAATAATAATAATAATAATAATAATAATAATAATAATAATAATAATAAATAGTTATTTATTATTATTATTGTTATTATATTATTATTATTAACCATGGGGAAGAGCAAGGGATCATAGTGCTCAATAAGATATGAGACAAATGGTTGCAACTATGGAAGAGGGTAACTCTTAATTCCTTGGATCAAGAGCCCTTTACCACCATGAATGCACTCCCCTGATTAAAGATTTAGAAGCTAGAAAAGGCTAAAAGTTTGGCAGGCAGACTAATTTCAGAGCTGAGGTGTATCCACTACAAGAATGAATTAAAGAAACTGAATCTGGCATGTTAACAATGTAGACGATCTCAGAGAAATGCATCTGGAGGACGGAGAGACTGATGGAAGTGTGAGGACCTATACAATGGAACATGGAAACTAGAAATTCGTATGAGTCTTGAGGTGCATTCGGATTTTCTGTTTGTCTGCAGGAAAAAGAGAAGTGAAAAAAAGCTGATTCGTGCACAGTTCTAGAGTAGGTCTGATAAGGTTCATGGATATGGTTCATCAACGAGAAGGTGGGACCAGAAGCCAAGACTGAGTCTTCTTCATCCCATACAGACCAGTGTCACGTTCTCTCTCTCTCTCTCTCTCTCTCTCTCTCTCTCTCTCTCTCTCTCTCTCTCTCTCTCTCTCTCTCTCTCTCACTCTCTCTCTCTCTCTCTCTCTCTCTCTCTCTCTCTCTCTCTCTCTCTCTCTCTCTCTCTCTCTCCTCTCTCTCTCTCTCTCTCTCTCTCTCTCTCTCTCTTCTCTCTCTCTCTATATATATATATATATATATATATATATATGTATCTATCTGTCTATCTCTTACACACAAAGAGGAACTGTGACTCGACCCATGAAACCACACAAAGGTGACTCGCACACACAAGCACGCTCCCGCACACAAGCACGCTCCCGCACACAAGCACGCTCGCGCACACAGCCACGCTCCCGCACACAAGCTCGCTCCCGCACACAAGCACGCTCGTGCACACAAGCACGCTCGCGCACACAAGCACGCTCCCGCACACAAGCACGCTCCCGCGCACAGGCACGCTCGCGCACACAAGCACGCTTGCACACACAGCCAGGCTCCCGCACACAAGCACACTCCCGCACACAGGCACGCTCGCGCACACAAGCACGCTCGCACACACAGCCACGCTCCAGCACACAAGCACGCTCCCGCACACAAGCACGCTCGCGCACACAAGCACGCTCGCGCACACAAGCACGCTCGCACACACAGCCACCCTCCCGCACACAAGCTCGCTCCCGCACACAAGCACGCTCGTGCACACAAGCACGCTCGCGCACACAAGCACGCACGCTCCCGCACACAAGCACGCTCCTGCACACAAGCACGCTCCCACACACAGGCACGCTCGCGCACACAAGCACGCTCGCACACACAGCCAGGCTCCCGCACACAAGCACACTCCCGCACACAGGCACGCTCGCGCACACAAGCACGCTCGCACACACAGCCACGCTCCAGCACACAAGCACGCTCCCGCACACAAGCACGCTCCCGCACACAAGTACGCTCGCACACACAAGCACGCTCGCACACACAGCCACGCTCCCGCACACAAGCACGCTCGCGCACACAAGCACGCTCGCACACACAAGCACGCTCCCGCACACAAGCACGCTCCCGCGCACAAGCACGCTCGCACACACAGGCACGCTCCCGCACACAAGCACGCTCGCACACACAGGCACGCTCCCGTCACAAGCACGCTCGCACACACAGGCACGCTCCCGCACACATGCACGCTCGCACACACAGGCACGCTCTCGCACACAAGCACGCTCCCGCACACAAGCACGCTCGTACACACAAGCACGCTCTCAAGCACGCTCGCACACACAGGCACGCTCCCGCACACAAGCTCGCTCCCGCACACAAGCACGCTCCCGCACACAAGCACGCTCGCACACACAGGCACGCTCCCGCACACAAGCACGCTCCCGCACACAAGCACGCTCGCACACCCAGGCACGCTCCTGCACACAAGCACGCTCGCACACAGGCACGCTCCCGCACACAAGCACGCTCGCACACACAGCCACGCTCCCGCACACAAGCACGCTCGCACACACAGCCACGCTCCCGCACACAAGCACGCTCGCGCACACAAGCACGCTCGCGCACACAAGCACGCTCGCGCACACAAGCATGATCGCGCACACAAGCACGCTCGCACACACAAGCACGCTCGCGCACACAAGCACGCTCGCGCACACAAGCATGATCGCGCACACAAGCACGCTCGCACACACAAGCACGCTCCCGCACACAAGCACGCTCCCGCACACAAGCACGCTCGCACACACAGGCACGCTCCCGCACACAATCACGCTCGCACACACAGGCACGCTCCCGCACACAAGCACGCTCGCACACACAGGCACGCTCCTGCACACAAGCACGTTCGCACACACAGGCACGCTCGCACACACAGGCACGCTCCCGCACACAAGCACGCTCGCACACACAGGCACGCTCCCGCACACAAGCACGATCGCACACACAGGCACGCTCTCGCACACAAGCACGCTCGCACACACAGCCACGCTCCCGCACACAAGCACACTCGCACACACAGGCACGCTCCCGCACACAAGCACGCTCGCACACACAGCCACGCTCCCGCACACAAGCGCGCTCGCACACACAGCCACGCTCCCGCACACAAGCACGCTCGCACACACAGCCACGCTCCCGCACACAAGCACGCTCGCGCACACAAGCACGCTCGCGCACATAAGCACGATCGCGCACCAAAGCTCGCACACAGCACGCACACACAAGCACGCTCCCACACAAGGCACGCTCCCGCACACAAGCACGTCGCACACACAGGCACGCTCTCGCACACAAGCACGCTCGCACACACAACCACGCTCCCGCACACACACATCGCACACCAGCACTCCACACAAGCACGCTCGCACACACAGCACGCTCGCGCACACAAGCACGCTCGCACACACAGCCACGCTCCGCACACAAGCACGCTCGCGCACACAATACCTTCCGCACACAAGCACGCGCGCACACAAGAACGGCGCACTAAGCACATCCCACAAGACGTCGAACACAAGCACGTCCGCACATGCACGCTCGAACAAGCACGCTCTCACATACAGGGAACTCCCGCACACAGACCATCTCCACACATCACCCGCGCACTAACCCTCGCACACAAGCATCCTTGCACACAGTTAGCTCGCGCACACAAACGTCGCAAACAGCACCTCGAAACAAGCACGCTCCGGCAAAAATAATTATTTAACGGTAAATGCGCTAAACCTTACGTCCTGTGGGGATGAAGGTTTCAGTTTATTCAGAACGAGACAGACAACTAGATAAGAGTCCTCTCGCACACAATGCATTTTGAAGTGTCATGGTTATTTCGTCCTGATAATTCAAGAAAGGAAATTTTCTAGGAAATTCAGTTAAGCCAAGAAAGTACGAGACTGTATTATAAACAGAATTTTTTGGCTTAATTGATGATAAGTCAGTTTTCTCTATCCTCCGACTATCTTGTAATATTCATTCTCTCTCTCTCTCTCTCTCTCTCTCTCTCTCCTCTCTCTTCTCTCTCTCTCTCTCTCTCTCTCTCTCTCTCTTCTTCTCCTCTCTCTCTCTCTCTCTCTTCTCTCTCTCTCTCTCTCTCTCTCTCTCTCTCTCCTCTCTCTCTTCTCTCTCTCTCTCTCTCTCTCTCTCTCTCCTCTCTCTCTCTTCTCTCTCTCTTCTCTCTCTCTCTCTATCTCTCTCTCTCTCTTCTCTCTCTCTCTCTTCTCTCTCTCTCTCTCTCTCTCTCCCCTCATCCCCCTCTTCTCTCTCTCTCCCTCTCTCTCTCTCTCCCCCTCTCTCTCTCTATCTATCTATCAATCTATCTATCTTTCCATACAATCACATACACAAAGACCATAGAACTTAAATTTCTTAAACTTGGTAAGTAAGGCTCTAATATATTGCAAAGTTTATTTACTTGGCATCATCACATGGATTAAGTGCCTAATAATACTTACCATAAACGTCATTACACACATTTAAGAAGATGTTGATATTATTATGCAGCGTGCTGCAGTAAAATGATTGTTTAAAAAATGCTCCACAGTTTTCCGTGATTTGTATTGAAACCGGACGCGTATTGTTCCTGGTCAGGCAGAGTGACCAGGAGACAGGAGTAGATGAGGTGTTTGTGAGGCAGTACATGGAGGGCGGCAGCTGCGAGAAGTATTCATAGCTTTGTTTTGTTTTGTAAGTATATACCATAGGTTATTTTATTTGTGTTTAAGTGCTCTCATGTTTACCTATAAGGCCTTAGTGTTCAGAGGCCTGTTTAAGTTTTGGAAGACTACTCGTCTGGTGTTTTTGCCTGCTGGTAGACAGACCGGCAAAAGGTGGAGGGGTGTTACGTAGCCTCCCTATTTATAAATGTTTATATACTTTGTTTTACTCACTAGTAGCAGTGTGCTAGTGAGCTAATGTGAACTGGAGGAAAGGTGATGTTGTAGTAGAGTAGATGGTAGGTTGTATATACGTTACTATTAATATATTATATTTTTGAATTGGTGAGTTTTTGTGTCCTTATAATACATTGACTATTTAAATTTATGCTTCATAATTTGTATGAAGGTACATGCTGGCCCTAGAGTGGTTTTTTCAATTTTAAATAATATAAATGCCCCAAGACAGGCAGGTCATTTATTCTTTAGCAGCAGGACTTTTCATGTTACGCAGTAAAAAAAGCGTAACAAATATTGTTAAAGATTCGCCGGTATTCTCCCGGCCCGGGCCTTTTCCAAGTGGTGACCCGGCCTTGGTTCCCTCTTTAGGGAGTGTCTGAGACCTAAGTCTTCCATGGGAGGAGGCAAAAGTACCTCCTCATCTTGAGAGCTACAAGCTCGGGCTCAGGCACCAACCCTACCCTAGAAGGGCTGGGCATGGTGTTGATCGTACTCCTCATCTCCGGGACCAACTGTCCCCAGGCCTAGCCACATTCCCCGCCATCACGGGGCTCGTAGGGAGAAGCTAGGCCTCTCTGGTCTGCCATCCCCGCCCCAAGGGGGCTAATGGGAATGACAGTCTTGTGAGCTGAAAGCTCTGGCTCAGGCACCTACCCTGCCCTAGGAGGGCTGGGCATGGTGTCGATGCTCCCTCTGGACCTCTGTGATGTCAGTACACCAAGTAACAAATATAAAGTGTTAAACCCGTACGTGCTATTCACTGCATGAAATGGTGAAGGCTCGATCAAAACTTTGCTCAAGGGGAGCCAGATTCGTTGCTATTTTGTATACATTAATGCCTAAGAGAGATTTGTATTAAATATTTTGATCTGGTAAAATTTGGTCCTCGGTTACAGCTAAAATAACGCCAAAAATTATATTTTTTATTTCGAAAAAATGTTCGCGGAGCAAAACCAACCTCACGTTTCCTTTATTTTTTTCGGGCAGAGCTTGTGACAACACTCAATTTATTAGAGGTACAGCTAAAACTCGTGTTACTGTGGCGTTTTTAAAGCCCTCTTTGAGCTTAATTTATTGTAGCAAGCATTTTAGAAAATCTTTCTAAATCGTGTTTCGGAGGATCATGTGTATTGTGATTTCCGGATTGTGATGTGGACTACAAGTCTAAGATACGTATGTTATCAGGTTTTTGGAGCTCTCAATAACCAATTACTAACTTATTTTACATTTAAATATGTGCATTCCATCAATAGGAAAATATGTTCAAATCTTTTTGGATATTCCACATGAGCACATTGGTAAATGAAAAAATTATGTATCTTTTCTTCGTAAATAAAAAATCATATAAGAATAAATATGAGCTGCTCAATTTTGGGATTGTTGTTTGCTTGTATATGTTAAATTGCATACAATTTGCTCATTGCTCAGCACAGTCTCTGACTATTAAGCTGTCACTAAGGCATTCACTGGAGAACGAAGCTCTATAGAACTTTGATGTATTTTTCTAGTTCATCAGAAGAATACCACAGCCTGGATGAAGACTCCCGGACTGAGGGAGATCTGGAAGCCCTCAATTTCATAGACCTTCTGTGAAAACTTGCTTCCGTACAGCGCCGTTACTGGGTCGGAGACCTGAAGGGTGAAGACGTAGGTAACGGACTCCCTGAGGTGGACCGGGTTCTTGAAGGAGAGGTTAGCGCCGCGGCCCTCAGCGCTTGCGAGCACCGCCGAATTTGCGTCCTCTTTGCGTATCTCAAGCTGAAATTATTTAAAGTTATTTGTCTCCGGAAACCAACAATAAAATAATTAATAAGACCGAAAACGATGGATGATTGAAGTTTTCAAATGTAAAATCATTATGAAGATGTTACTTAAGAAGTTCATATTGTTGGCAAAAAAAAAAAAAAATGGTATGTTGAAGTTTTTTCAATGAAATAAAGAAAATAAGTCATTACAGCAAGTAAGATAAATTTGTAATTTCTTGTCAATATTGCTATTTAGCTCTACTTTATCATTTAAGTTGATTAACGTCACAATACAACGAGAACAATAGCAGTCACTGGCACGTCTTCGCTAATTAGCTAACACAAAACGTTCTGTTTTTGATTCAGGGAAGTCTGGTGTCTGTAAACAGGTAATTTAGCTAACTGAATGAAACAAGCATAATTATAAAACAGTTTTAACAAAGCCTAATGACTCGCTTTTTTATTTAATCTTGTAATACAAAGCGAATCTAATAAAGACCACCTGATCATTCTCCTTACTAGTGGAACCAAAACAAATATCTAGCCAGGTCACCGCATCCACAAACTTTCCTACATCTTCCAGTCTACTCTCTAGTAAACATTTCTCACCTCCAGCCACTTCTTTCACCATGTGTGATACACGTGTAAATTTGAGTGCTTCCTAGAGTTGTGCAGCTACGGCATTACCAGACCTCTGGTGGCCATTTTTTTAATCTGGTTACTTGAAGTTAAAATTTCTTATTTATTAGGCTTATGTTACGTTAATAAATCAAACCTCGACTGCCTTCAAAACGTATTTGCAATTTCACTTTCATGATAAATGATTTTGCCTTAGGAGGGGAAAACTTGAAAGTCGTTGACGCCACAACATTCCCTACATTCCGGTCCTGTAACATGAAAACATTCCCAACATTCCTGATCATGGACGTCACAAGTATGTTATTCGAAGACTCACTCTTCATTCATGCACACAACCTGTACATCAGTCATAAATGCTATTTGTTTTAGAGTCTTATGATGACAAAGTGATGAATAGTACTGTACTTGAAGAACTTTAAAGGAACGACCTGTACTTGAAGGACAACCATCATTTACCGAGAAAGAAGAGTGAAGATTTATGTATGTAATAAATCCGCAAAGCTCAGTCTGAATATAGCGAATATATATATATATACATACATATATATATATATATATATATATATATATATATATATATATATATATATATATTATATATATATATATATACATATATATATATATATATATATATATATATATATATATACATATATATATATATATATATATATATATATATATATATATATATATATATATATATATATATATATATATATATATATATATATATATATATATATATATATATATATATCTATATATATATATATATTTTAACAAGTCGGCCGTCTCCCACCGAGGCAGGGTGACCCAAAAAAAAAAAGAAAGAAAATCCCCAAAAAGAAAATACTTTCATCATCATTCAACACTTTCACCACACTCGCACATTATCACTGTTTTTGCAGAGGTGCTCAGAATACAACAGTTTAGAAGCATACACATATAAAGATACACAACATATCCCTCCAAACTGCCAATATCCCAAACCCCTCCTTTAAAGTGCAGGGATTGTACTTCCCATTTCCAGGACTCAAGTCCGACTATATGAAAATAACCGGTTTCCCTGAATCCCTTCACTAAATATTACCCTGCTCACACTCCAACAGATCGTCAGGTCCCAAGTACCATTCGTCTCCATTCACTCATGTCTAACACGCTCACGCACGCTTGCTGGAAGTCCAAGCCCCTTGCCCACAAAACCTCCTTTACCCCCTCTCTCCAACCCTTCCGAGGACGACCCCTACCCCGCCTTCCTTCCCCTATAGATTTATATGCTTTCCATGTCATTCTACTTTGATCCATTCTCTCTAAATGACCAAACCACCTCAACAACCCCTCTTCTGTCCTCTGACTAATACTTTTATTAACTCCACACCTTTCCTAATTTCCACACTCCGAATTTTCTGCATAATATTTACACCACACATTGCCCTTAAACAGGACATCTCCACTGCCTCCAACCGTCTCCTCGCTGCTGCATTTACCACCCAAGCTTCACACCCATATAAGAGTGTTGGTACTACTTACTTTCATACATTCCCTTCTTTGCCTCCATAGATAACGTTTTTTGACTCCACATATACCTCAACGCACCACTCACCTTTTTTCCCGCATCAATTCTATGATTAACCTCATCCTTCATGAATCCATCCGCCGACACGTCAACTCCCAAGTATCTGAAAACATTCACTTCTTCCATACTCCTCCTCCCCAATTTGATATCCAATTTTTCTTTATCTAAATCATTTGACACCCTCATCACCTTACTCTTTTCTATGTTCACTTTCAACTTTCTACCTTTACACACATTCCCAAACTCATCCACTAACCTTTGCAATTTTTCTTTAGAATCTCCCATAAGCACAGTATCATCAGCAAAAAGTAACTGTGTCAATTCCCATTTTGAATTTGATTCCCCAAAATTTAATCCCACCCCTCTCCCGAATACCCTAGCATTTACTTCCTTTACAACCCCATCTATAAATATATTAAACAACCATGGTGACATTACACATCCCTGTCTAAGACCTACTTTTACCGGGAAGTAGTCTCCCTCTCTTCTACACATCCTAACCTGAGCCTCACTATCCTCATAAAAACTCTTTACAGCATTTAATAACTTACCACCTATTCCATATACTTGCAACATCTGCCACATTGCTTCTCTATCCACTCTATCATATGCCTTTTCTAAATCCATAAATGCAATAAAAACTTCTCTGCCTTTATCTAAATACTGTTCACATATATGCTTCAATGTAAACACTTGATCTACACATCCCCTACCCACTCTGAAACCTTGCTCATCCGCAATCCTACATTCTGTCTTACCTCTAATTCTTTCAATTATAACCCTACCGTACACTTTTCCTGGTATACTCAGTAAACTTATTCCTCTGTAATTTTTAGTCTCTTTTGTCCCCTTTCCCTTTATATAAAGGGACTATACATGCTCTCCGCCAATCCCTAGGTACCTTCCCCTCTTTCATACATTTATTAAACAAAAGTACCAACCACTCCAACACTATATCCCCCCCTGCTTTTAACATTTCTGTCATGATCCCATCAGTTCCAGCTGCTTTACCCCCTTTCATTTTAAGTAATGCCTCACGTACCTCCCCCACACTTACATTCTGCTCTTCTTCACTCCTAAAAGATGGTATACCTCCCTGACCAGTGCATGAAATTACTGCCTCTGTTTCTTCCTTAACATTTAAAAGTTCCTCAAAATATTCTCGCCATCTACCTAATACCTCCATCTCCCCATCTACTAACTCCCCTACCCTGTTTTTAACTGACAAATCCATACTTTCCCTAGGCTTTCTTAACTTGTTTAACTCACTCCAAAATTTTTTCTTATTTTCATTAAAATTTCTTGACAGTGCCTCTCCCACTCTATCATCTGCTCTCCTTTTGCACTCTCTCACCACTCTCTTTACCTTTCTTTTACTCTCCATATACTCTGCTCTTCTTATAACACTTCTGCTTTGTAAAAACCTCTCATAAGCTACCTTTTTCTCTTTTATCACACCCTTTACTTCGTCATTCCACCAATCACTTCTCTTTCCTCCTGCCCCCACCCTCTTATAACCACAAACTTCTGCCCCACATTCTAATACTGCATTTTTAAAACTATTCCAACCCTCTTCAACCCCCCCCACTACTCATCTTTGCACTAGCCCACCTTTCTGCCAATAGTCGCTTATATCTCACCCGAACTTCCTCCTCCCTTAGTTTATACACTTTCACCTCCCTCTTACTTGTTGTTGCCACCTTCCTCTTTTCCCATCTACCTCTTACTCTAACTGTAGCTACAACTAAATAATGATCCGATATATCAGTTGCCCCTCTATAAACATGTACATCCTGGAGCCTACCCATCAACCTTTTATCCACCAATACATAATCTAATTAACTACTTTCATTACGTGCTACATCATACCTTGTATATTTATTTAACCTCTTTTTCATAAAATATGTATTACTTATTACCAAATCTCTTTCTACACATAGCTCAATTAAAGGCTCCCCATTTACATTTACCCCTGGCACCACAAATTTACCTACTACTCCCTCCATAACATTTTTTTCCCACTTTAGCATTGGAATCCCCAACCACCATTACTCTCACACTTGATTCAAAACTCCCCACGCATTCACTCAACATTTCCCAAAATCTCTCTCTCTCCTCTACACTTCTCTCTTCTCCAGGTGCATACACGCTTATTATAACCCACTTTTCACATCCAATCTTTATTTTACTCCACATAATCCTTGAATTAATACATTTATAGTCCCTCTTTTCCTCCCATAGCTTATCCTTCAACATTATTGCTACTCCTTCTTTAGCTCTAACTCTATTTGAAACCCCTGACCTAATCCCATTTATTCCTCTCCACTGAAACTCCCCACCCCCTTCAGCTTTGTTTCACTAAAGCCAGGACAAACCAGCTTCTTCTCATTCATAACATCCACAATCATCTCTTTCTTATCATCTGCACAACATCCACGCACATTCAGACTTCCCACTTTGACAATTTTCTTCTTCTTATTCTTTTTAGTAATCGATACAGGAAAAGGGGTTACTAGCCCATTGTTCCCGGCATTTTAGTTGACTTTTACAACACGCATGGCTTACGGAGGAAAGATTCTTATTCCACTTCCCCATGGATATAAAAGGAAAAGTAATAAGACCAAAAACTATTAAGATAAAATCAAAGAAAACTCAGATGAGTGTGTATAAATAAATGTGTACATGTATGTGTAGTGTGACCTAAGTGTAAGTAGAAGTAGCAAGACATACCTGTAATCTTGCATATTTATGAGACAGGCAAAAGACATCAGCAATCCTACCATCATGTATAACAATCACAGGCTTTCGTTTTACACTCACTTGGCAGGACGGTAGTACCTCCCTGGTGGTTGCTGTCTACCAACCTAATATATAAAATAAAATATATATATATATATATATATATATATAAATATATATATATATATATATAAAATATATATATATATATATATATATATAAAATATATATATATAAAAAATAAAAATATATATAATATATATATATATATATATATATATATATATATATATATATATATATATAAAATATATAAAATATATATAAATATATAATATATGAAATATAGGAAGTACCACCTCTATAGCGGGAATGGGACCCTCATCCTCAAGAAGACAATAAACGTTCCTCAGGAAAAACTCAAGGTTCTCCCCCGGAGCTTTTTTGAATATTTTCTTCTCCTACCACCCCCTATAAAATTTAAATGCTCTATGTGAACATTTATTAATAAACAGAATACATTTACAGAATACTTTTTACAGAAAAAAACATGAACATGAATACAATGGCACAATGTATCAAAGGATCATGAATTTCCTCCAGCTCCTCCGAGGCTGGACGCGAGCCAAGTATGCAGCAAGCATTTTCCCCTCTGGATGGCTACGCTGAGGCGCTGGAACATTAAAGTGGCTGCCCTTGGGTCCCTGGGGGTGTCGATGAGTCTGGAACCCAATTCTTTAAGGAAACGTGGGCATTTTTTTCCCATGATCCCAAGGGCTCTGATCCCCCTGGACAAACTGATACTGTTGGCTAATGTCCCTGTACTTGCTGGTCTTGTACTTCCTCCCTGTGGTCAGGGAGCTCCTCCCTGTCGCCCAACACTGTGATGGATATAGGTGTCAGCCAGTGTGGACACACAGGTATAGTCCCATGCTAAGAGCTTGCCATTCTTCCAAGGATAGAATTGGTGATCCCGTCGGGGCGGTTTGCTGGGTTGTGGGTATTGTTGGCTACTAGTGATCGGGGCTCCCTCTCGGGAGGGCATCCAGCTGTAGCAAGGGTTTTTCTTAATGATGTCGTTTGACCTCATTGTGTCTTGCATGCCAGCCCTTGGTTTTGGAACAGTTAAGACCATGTAGACCGTATTGGGCTGCTTGCACTTTGCCGCAAATACACGTATATTCTGTGTGAATTGGGCAGCAAGGCGCAGAGCCATTGCAATACGGAGGGTCTTAGGGTCGAGTCGCGTTCCCATTGCCGATATGGGGACTGTTTGGAGGAAGTCCCCGGAGTGAGGTGCGCTCACAGCCTGGAGACGGGCAATCTCCCTATCTGATGTTCCAGCCCTGAGCATGTTGGCAAGCATCTTTTCAGCAATCGGGCCATCCCAGCTTGACTGTTTGTGAGCCAGTGCTGCACTAGGGTTTGGTGCTGGAGCAGCATGAGTCTCCCATTCGGTGATGGCACTGGCATAGCTAGGGTCTTCTATTCCTGCTGAGTCACTGAGGGTATCGGGAAGAATTTGTCTTATCAACTCGTTTGATGCTATGGAAGAGGATAGGAAAGCTGGTAGAGCAATCTGGGAGGATCTGCGTATTCCTAGCCCTCCAAGCCTGACCGGAAGTGAGGCTTGCAACCACTGTCCTTCGTCAAGGGAAAGATTCAATACACTCTCTACCATGGTCTTCAGGAGAGAGTCATATTCCTTGAGTTTTGGACTGCTGAAGGCTGGGGAGCATCTCAGAAAGTAGGTAAGTTTTGGGATTGACAGGCACCTGGTGAGTAGGTAGAAGGCATCGTGTGTGTCAATGTCTTTCATCCTGCTTTCCATCGTCCGGAGGTCTGAGACTTTTTTTTCTAGGATCAGATCGATGGCATTGGACCCAAGAGGAGCACCAAGGAGAGTGCTATTGGCTGGATCAATGGTTCGTGCTCCTGGTAAAACGGCGCTAATATTCTGGATCATCTGTTGATTGGTAGAAACTATTTCACATTTGGTGGGGTTTAAAGAAAGGCCCAGGCTTTCTCCCATGTCTTTAATTTTACTGATGTCCTCTAGGAGAGATTCTGTTATGCCAGCTAGGGTACCGTCGTCCAGGAACCAGATATATATATATATATATATATATATATATATATATATATATATATATTATAATATATATATATATATATATATATATATATATATATATATATATATATATATATGTCGTGCCTAATATGTAAAACTGGTCAATTAGCAAGAACTCATTTAAAATTAAGTCCTTTCTAAAATTTTCTCTTATACGTTTAAAGATACATTTTTTCATTAATGTTAATGTAATTTTTTTTAATTTTGCACCAGAAGAATCTTAGAAAACTTACCTAACCTTATTATAACAAGTGCAATTTATTTTAGCCTAACCCAACTAAATATAATTTAGATTTGTTTACAATAATTTAATACTAAACAAACTCAGTGAAATATATTTTTTTCGTTAGGTTCAGAATGATTTTGGCGAAATTATTGCATACACAAATTTTCACTTGTCCTATATGGCAAGATGAACGTTGCTATTTAAGCCAAGATCGCAAGTTCTGTCTATTCGGCACGACATATATATATATATATATATATATATTATATATAATTATATAATATATATATATATATATATATATATATATATATATATATATATATTATATATATATATATATATATATATATATATATATATATATATATATATATATATATATATATATAATATATATATATATATATATATATATATATATATATATAT